CCTTCCTTCCTTCCTTCCTTCCTTCCTTCCTTCCTTCCTTCCTTCCTTCCTTCCTTCCCTCCCTCCCTTCTTCCTTCCCTCCCTCCCTTTTTCCCTTTTACAGGGTTTTTTGAGGGGGGTGTGCTGCAAACAGAAGTATTGATAGTATAAAGTGATTCTGATGCTTGAAGTTCCACTTTTGATTATAATGACATACAGAGCATAGATTTTGCCTGATTCAAGAGTTCAAGACATTGTCTCAATATTTTCACTGAAGTGGCAAGATCTATCCCCAGGTCAGTCACTACCAACGAAGATCCCATAGAGCTATATGTGACATTAGGCGTTTTTGTCCCTAAATGTATTACTTTTCATATCAAACTGTAGTTGCCACCTTAATCACCATTTATCTTGGTTTGGAAAGCCATTTGAAGTTGCATCACATTTGCTATTGAAAGATCTGCAGATAGGTTGGTAATTGCCTTCTGGGTTCAGTTTAAACAATTTATTGTTTTAGTTGGCTAAGATAAGACTTGGTTATCTGAAGGAATCATGAACTTTAGGGATAAGTTACAGATTTTTGTTAGAAGAACTTTACATTGTAGCTCTTCCCTTGCTAGGTTTAGTCCTTAATAATAATAGTAATAATAGTTTAAACTTGTATGCCACCTGACTCTCAATGACTGGGCAGCTCACAAAGAAATTACAATGAAACCAATGAAACATAAAAAATAAAGATAAAAGATGGCAAGTGTGATGAAACGAGGGGTCTCACTCCCCCTCGTCGAACACCTGGGTGAAGAGCATGAAGCGTAAAACATGAAGTGGGGCCATTTTGGGTCCTTCATACTCATGAAAGACATTTCTTCTGAACTGTGGAAGCAATTCTCTTGAGAACCTAAGATAGTTTCTCTTCTCAGGGTTTAGGAAAGGAATTAAAACACACATCTTTAATTGATCATTTCAAAATTTCAAGAAGTGATGGTAATATTTTAATACATTGTTGTTGCTCTGTATTATGTACAGCCAATTATGAATAAAATAGTGTTGATAAGTACATGAATACTATTAATAAGTAATGAAATAAATAAGATATTTGTAATATTAAGTAATCTTTTTCAGCAGTTTACCCAGAACAGATCCCAAATATGCCCTCTTTCTCTTTTCCTTTCCCAGCCACTTCTAATCCTAGTTCACCTTCCAAAATTTGAGTATGGACTGGACCCAATTTTAGGGCTAAATTACCCATTTTTGTTAGAAGAACTTGACATTGTAATTCTTCCCTTGCTAGGTTTAGTCCTGAGCGATCGTCAACCCAAAACATTTTCAACGAGAAACTGGCTTCTTGTGGGCTTTTTTGTCTTCCTGCCTGTTGTGATTGGCTCCCTCATCTTGGTCATCAAACTGAGACAAGCTTTATTACATGCAAATGTGGAGGAGGAAAAAGACGAGGAGGAGGAATACAATACTGAAGGGTAACGCAACGAGACTAGAATTTGCAGTGCAACCTGTTCCTCAACTCCCTTTGGGAGGGAGATGAAACAGGAAGAATATTTTGCTCTTGCAAACTGAATGGGCTGTTGTGGGGGGTACTCATAAACCATTTA